TGTACGCAGTCCGAATGTAGAATTGTATTCGGATGCTGCGTACACACTGCTTATTTCACTGCGTATTTTTTAATACATTATGTTTTCTACGTATTTTTTGTGTATTTAGTGAGTATTATTTATTTGCTAATTATTTACCACAAAAAAATTATGTCTCAAAAAATACGCAACAAAATAAGCAGTGTGTACGCACATCCGAACACGTTCGGATTGCGTACACAATAATTTCTCGTCATTTATTGTGTCTGTAACCGTGGACTTTTTATTAATATATTTTCAGTTTATGTTTAAAAAAAAATGTACACTCATGTGTTGCAGCTTCATAAGATGCAAGGCGGCAATGTTGAATTCTTGACTTGGAGACAAATAATATAGCATTGAGGCACATCAGAATCAACACCGTGGTGCTGCGAGTCAAGTTGGTCAGTTTTTCTTCCCTCTTTTTCTTGTTTCATTTAGAGGATTGTATCATTTGATGTATTGTTTTTTTTTATTTTATTTTTCATTTTTTTTTAGGTGGGGGGACCCACTCCCGGGCTTATAGAATGATTAATGGAAAATATCTAAAACTCTCTACTGTTCCAAAGAACATACAAGCAAAATAAAATAAAACCTAGGAGCTAATGATCCCACCTACTCACAATCATAAAAAACCTATAAAATTAAAGCTAGGGATGTCAATAGCCTTTGTATGTAGAATGAATAGAAAATTAAAGTGAGAGAAGGAGATAATGAAATAAAAGAGATTTGTATAATTTCTTCCAATTTTTCATAGTGACTCCATGGTTTTTCCTAGCTTCAGATCTTCCAGGTTAAAGCCTAAAGTTCATTTCATTCTGGTTGCGTGATTTACTTCCCAACATTTAAAAAACCAAACTACATCCTAATTATAGAACACAAATTAGAAAAAAAAAAAAGTTATTTCAATTTGGTTATCACACCATGTCTCATTATCATTAAAATTAGAACAAATTACAACAATATTCTATGTTAATTATGACATATGATATTTTGAACACATTATTGAAAAATTGAACTTCATTAATGGCATTCAAGTTCAAAAACAAAGTTTCTAAATAATTTATACTAAATATTTTGTACTACATTCTGATATTTTAAATAAAAAATTAAAATTAATTAGCACATGCATGCATATTACTAGAAACTTAAAATAGTACGTGCTTCTGAATCTAATCTACATAAAGAGATTAAACTTAAAAATTAAAATTTTTAATATTTGTAAGTTCTGTTTATATTATATTTTATCGATATCTGCGCCTAAGGACGACCAGCCTGGCCGCAAGAGCATGCTTACAACTAATCAATTAGCAATCTGCAGCCTTTTGACAAATACAGATACACACGTAATAACTCCATTGAAGAAGTGCTTAAGTACTGGTTGCCACAATGGCCATTGCCGCGTGTTTCTATATAATATTCTTTTTATTTTAACAGTACTTTGATTGATCTATTGAAGTAACCCACTACCAAAAAAAAAAGGTTATTAGAACCATTCAAATTGTTTGCTAAAGATAAAATTTTGGTCGTTATGGTCAATAGTGACAAAAAAATTTAAGGTTGTGGGCACTTCGCAATAGTTTCCTCGATACTGATTTTCTTATTGCTTCCTAATGAAGTCTAAGTCAACAATTAAGAAAGAGCATGCCGTTCAAAGCTGGATTAAAGCAACTTTATTGAACTAAATTGCCACCAAATTATCAATCATGGTTGTTGGTGGTTGGGCCGGTGTTTTTCGAGCGGAGTTGTCGGGCTGGATGAGTGTTGTTGCAGCTGGGTTGTGTGGGTGGTGTGGATTCTCTCATTCGTAGTTGTCCCTTTGCTTATGTTGTGTTGTTTTTTGGCTTATGTTGGGTTGTGTGTGTGTTGAGGTTTCATTTATGTAGCTTATTATGGTTATTATTATGGACTATAGATGGCGAGGCGCTCGGTTATCCTTGTTTGCTTGTCTATTTTCTCTGTGTTTGTGAAGGTTTTTCAGTGATTGCTATGGCTCCTTTTGTTGTTGTGATGCTGATGTTGTTTTCCGATTATGGATTAAGTTCTTTAGTCCATTTTGTTATTATTCCTTTATTTTCCTTTCGTTTGAGTGTAATTAGTTGGATCATTAGCTCATATGTTTTACTTCTAAGATTGTGTTTTTAAAGAGCTATTGATTCTCTAAGAACATATACTTTTTTTTTTATTTTGTGTAACATGTAGGTCCTTGTGTGATTTTTTCCAAATAAAAAAAAAAAAGTGAGCATTTAGATTGTCTCAGAAATCTACCTAATTGTAGTAATGTTGGAAGATGTATCTCTCTATGAGAAGAAAGAATCATGTATGCTATAATTTCAGTTTTACAGCTGAGTTATAACGCTCCAAGAAAACTAGATTTACTTTCAAAAGAAAGAAATTAGCCAAAGTCACTTATGATCGGCTTCTATGATAATAATTCACACGCTTACACAATCATTTCAATTTGGCACCTCAACCACCTTCTGAAACTCGTTGATTTTAAGATGGAAGGACTACTCTTCTCATCCAAGTTTATGGCTTTCTTAATAATGGCCAACTAAAAGCTGTAATTATATATAATCAAATGAGAAAAATGAGAAGGAGAAAACAGCTTTGTCTAGCTTAGAAGATAATTAAGAAACATTAATTAAGAGATTGATCCATCATTAGCAAAGCCATGTTCGACCCACTGACTATAAAATCGCAACAGAGATTTGATTTGATGGCAATGAAGAACTCGTAAAAAGGGATCAGCTCTTGTTCCAGTAGTTGGAAGTGGATCAGTCAATATCAAAAATAGATTAAAATAAAGCGAATTCAACTTCAACCGTCCAAATAAACTGTAATTTATATGGTTAATTACCACTAAAAGTAGAGAGAATCTGTATCCCCGCATACATATAGGCCAATCTCTATCATGAACTTTCTTATTTCAATTTTGAGCATCAGAAACTTAATGACATGTCTTCTACAATTCAATAGAATATTCTAAAAATTATAATAGAATTGCAGTATGTATATGCTTCTTATACACAAAGGGGCTGTTTGGTAGCTCTCAGGATTTAATTTAAGTAGGATTTCGTAACTCTGCTAAATCCTGATTTTGGAAATCTTGAGGAGCCTAAATCCTAAAAACTGTTTGGTAACATTCACAATAAATCCTATTAAATCATGTGTGATTGTTTGACTATAGAACGAATTATACGAGCGGACTCTTTCTCTCGAGCCGACAAATTTCGTAAATCCGGCAAAAAACATGATTTCAGAAATCCGGCATTTAGCATGAAAAGGCATAATTTTCCGTCTAGGGCTTCTTTCATTTGCCGTGAGATTTGGTTTTGCATTTTAGGTCGTTTGACCGGATTTCACTAAAATCCGCCTCAAATCCCGCCTAAATCCTGCTACCAAACATCCAAAAAAACGTAGATACAAACACTTTAAGGCTTTTTTTGGCCCAGTTTTTCACTACTTCTTCAAGCAGCTTTATAGTAAAAAATTTTAATTTTTTTACTAAAAAATTATTTTAAGAAGCAGTAAAAAAATCATCTCAAACCAAGTTTAAATCAGTATCTTTTATGCCATCTTACATATAAGTGAAGTGTGATATTTCAAGAGATAACCGGCCAGCATCACCAGGAAAGGCGTTGAGTGTGTGTTGACTTAAATATATGAGCATTAGTGTTTCTCAAAAGAGCAAAAGCCCCTTATAAAGAGATAATAACCTCGTGAGAACAATGCTTTAATATGTTAACCAAGATGTTTAAATTCAGGCTTCATTTGGGACGGCTTTTTTATTGCTTTTTAAAACAGAGTTTTAGTACAAAAATAAAAAAATTTGTGCTAAAACTCCGTTTTAGAAAGCAATAAAAAAGCCAAATTTGTGCAGAAGAACAACCCTGAGTGGAAAACAACAAGTGAGTACTGAAGGGAACAGAGCACTAAACCATTTGGTGCATAAATAGCTAATTATTGAATGAAAAAAAGTAGCATTTGAAACATACTATCTTGTAGTATCATTAGTTGTCATTCAATGAGTATTTCCATTCAAATATGTCATCCTACTATAGTACATTTCTTCCCATGTTTTCTTAAGTTAGCACAACTTCTTTGTCTCATAATACGACAAATTAAACGTTTCACGCATATAAACGAAAAGGTTCAATGATGCTACTGTAACATTAGGGTAGTAGCATTCAGACAATAATTATAATAAGTATTGATAAAATGATGTAAAAGTATAATTATGAACTAAGATGTTTCAATCATCAATTTCACACTAATGAAATCTCCGCATAAGATCAGACAACAATACACTTCATCACTCATATGCTCTAAGTCGTTCAGACATGTTAGCCCACCACAATATATGTCATCACATACTAGTTAGGTCACTACAGGAAAATTGCTAATTATCGACGGTTTAGATGACTTTTCTAGCGGTTTTTAAAATTTCCGGCGGCTTTCCGGCCATTAACCGATTAGCATCATTTTGTTAATGGAAATTGAAGGAGTTGGTTTTCTTTCGATGATAATATAATAACATTCATATGACAATTATAAATAAATTGCACCAGTAAAATGAGATCTATGATTGAGGGTTCCTATCTCCTATCTTAGGTGAAGGCATGAAAGTAATCGCTTGCCCTGAGCCATCAGTCTTCGAAGCACTAGAGCCTTGACCAAGAAGCAAGCTTTCTGATTTACAAAATCCATTTCAGGCCCATAAGCCCAGCCCATATTCCAAGAGACTTCCATGTCTCTTATCTAGCCCACCTCCCACCAACCCCATCACCTCTCTCAACGTGCCCTACTTCCCTTCCCACGTGTCATCAACTCCCCAGAACCTCACACGTGTTACTCCACCTTCCTCCTCTTCCCTCTTCAAATCCCCAAACCACCTCTACTTTCCTCTGGCATAACCGCATAAGAAGAGAAAATACCAAGCACTTACATTAAGTACCCAATCACCCTAAAAACTACAGAGAATGCCTCGCCGATATGCTTTCCGGTGGACCGAGGACGACGTCCACCACGACACCATGCGTGCCTTCCTCTCCGAGTTCATCGCCACAGCCATTTTCGTCTTCGCCGCCGAAGGCTCCCTCCTCTCCATCGGTATATATACACGTATATACTCGTGCGTGGAATATTTGTTGCGAGTGTAGAGTGTAGACTCATTAACATCTTCTTGCATGCATGCAGCAAAGCTGAACAAGGACACGTTGATCAACGGCGGCCTGGTTGTTGATGCCCTTGCCAACGCACTTGCCTTCGCCGTGGCTGTCTCTGTCACCTCCAATTTCTCCGGCGGTCACGTGAATCCTGCCATCACTCTCGGCGCTCTCGCCGGCGGTCGAATCTCAGTCTATCGGGCTATCTTGTACTGGTTGGCACAGTTACTCGGCTCTATATTGGCCGCCGTTCTACTCTGGATTTCCACCGGAGGAATGGTATCAAGAAATACTCTTTCGATCTTTACAAAAACTGTACATATATTACTGCATAATATTTTTTCTTTATTTATAAAGTTGATACATTAGTATTATATATACTTAGGTGTTTGTGTGTCTTGCGCCGCAACTAAATTAATAGGAACTTAGGAGATGATTTCATGTTCGCCCAAATTATAGTCCTAACATTAGATGGAATTCTTATATGAAATTCCTTATAAAGTTTTTTTTTTTTTTAATTTCTCCAATCTATTTTATATTGAGATTTGTGTGTTCTTTAAATTGTTTCTATGGTTATATTAATGATTGATCGATTTATGAACATTAATTTTAAAATAGAAACAAATTATATAAACATTGGTAATAATTTTATTATAGTAATTTTTTTAAGGAATATTTTCTTATGAGCGCTCTATTTCTTAAAAATTTAGAAAAATTTACATACATATCACTTTATATCATTCTATTTACATATCTAATGCCTAAAATTTTAATATTACATATATATCATGCTATATTATTTTAATATCAAATATGTCACTCATATTTCCTTCATTTCACTCATATAATTCATATATTCTATTATTTAATTATTTATAAAATTATCTCTTAAACAATTGTAAAAATTTAGAACTATCTTTAAATTAAAGTTATTTTTTTATTTTTTTAATAATGAGTAATGCAACAAAATCTGATAAATCATAGCCCAAAAAGTTTAGACGAGATTGCATTTAAAAAAAACTTAAGTGCAATAAATATAAGACTTAAAGAAAAATTAGTGAAGAATATTATGATAATAATTTAATCAAATAAATACGTAAATAATTAATCTTGAATTTATCTTAAAATAAATTTATGAAATTTATGCTGACCAAAATTTAATCAGCATATAATCAACATTTCATTTAAATAAATCTGTCATATAATTTGATTATTATTTTTTATTTATTGCAGAGACCATTAGGGCTTGCAGTAGCGGTGGGAGTAGGACGGGCCAATGCAGTGGTACTCGAGATGGTGCTGACGTTCGGGCTCGTGTACACGGTCTATGCAACTGGGCTGGACCCAAAAAGAGGGTCCATCGGCACGATCGCGCCACTGCTGATCGGGTTCATCGTGGGGGCGAACGTGTTGGTGGGCGGGTCCTTTGACGGGGCGGCGATGAACCCGGCCCGTGCGTTCGGGCCTGCATTAGTGGGTTGGAGGTGGCGCCACCACTGGGTTTATTGGATTGGCCCGATGCTGGGTGGGGCCCTCGCCGGTTTGGTTTATGAGTTTCTGTTAATTACGACCGAGCCTTCACATCCACGTCATCAGCATATAGGTCCAGAGGACTACTAGCTGGTTTTAGTGTGGAGCCCATTTTGGTTGGCGCTTTGTTCTTCTGTTTTTACTTTTAATTATCCTGTTTTATTAAATGTTTTTTTTTTTTAACTTTTTTGGTGTGCTTCAGGTGTTTTTTTATGAGACTTTAGCTGTGTATTAAGCTAATTAATGCAGTAATAAAATGCCAGTTTTTCAAGCTTTTTAGGCTTTATTTAACGGTTTTCTTTCTGCTTCTTAAATCAGTTTTTTAGTATAAAAATTTTAATTAATAAGCATAAACAATGTGATCCATACTGTTCATTTACATACCAATTATCTTGATCCATTAAACGTCTAAAGTAAAATCCATCACATAATTCAGTGAGATCCTCACCATGAAAGTTATTTTCAAAGCAAAAAATATTTTGCCGGAGTGATCGATGGTTGTTTTATGGTTCTCTTATAAAAGCTTTTTTTTTGTGAAAAATATATTTTTTATTTAACTTTAATTTTTTATTATCTTATAAGTAATATTTTCTTTGTAAGAATAATAAATACAACAAAAAAAATTAAATATTCAATGTTGAAGTGAAGCTCGGCCGAAAAATAATTTGTTAGAATTAAAATATATTATTTGGCACCCCTATAAAAACTTTTTGGCTCTACCACTACTTATCTTTCAAAAACCGATCAACCATTAATGAAAGCCATTGTTTAAAAAAAAAAAATTCTAAGTGGAAAAATGGAAGAAGCCTTATCCGGTTTTAGGGATTATGATATTTGTTTATGTTACAGAGGGAGTTATTCCCTTTCCTGGTAGGTCTTGTTGTAGTTGGTGGGCGTCTCGAGTTTTATTTTCTGATTTGGATCATTCCTTCATGGCCTTGATGGAATCTTGGATTCATGTATTTGGTTGCTAAAATTGAGTATTCGGACGGTGGTGAATACCGAACAGTACTGAACTCGGTACTATGAAGTACTGAGTTCGATACTTCACAGTTATGGGTGCCAATATTTGACACTACACGAAAACCCGACCCGGAATTTTCGGATTAGACTCGAGCCCGCGTCGCTGCTCGCGACCTCGCCCGCATCGCACCATGCGTACCGCTCGCCCCGCGCGCCCCTCGCGAACCTATCCGACGCGAACCTGCCCCTAGGGGTGTCAATTCGGGTCAACCCGTCGGGTTCGGGTCGAACCCGACCCGACCCGGATCTAAACAGGTCAACCCGAACCCGATCCGTTTTTGCAAACGGGTCGGACATTTCAACCCGGACCCGACCCGGCCGGGTTGCCGGGTTGACCCGACCTGACCCGCGACCCGGCAGCTAGAGCGCGGCACGCGGGTTCGGCAGCAGGAGCGCGGCAGCGATTGCGAGCGATGGCGGGCGCG